CGCCTGATCTGCATAATATCATGTAAATTACTGGTGTCATTTTCAGTAATAAATCATTGTACGACCTATAGAAGTCAGGGTTTTATGATTTGTACATTAGGCAAGAGCAAAAAATAATACTAAATGGGATTGGAATATCTTTCTGGGTGTCGCATGAGTTTAATTGTTGGATGCACCGTATGCATGTTGGTACGTGCAAAGTATACATAAACGATATATTCAAATTAATTCTGAATCTGAGATGCCCGACTCGTTTAATTTTGCTTATCCTGTTTTAATCTGTTTATTAATGATGTTGTTTAGCCATGCCTTTAGTGTATGTTTAACCTGTGGTTTGAATGTTAATTGCATTGTCATTTTAGTGGTGTATGAAACTATTTTGCACTGCAAAGAGGAAAGAGTACAAATATGTTTGTTCAAGCAAATTTCCCACTCTTTTCTAGCAAAATGTCAGAACACAAATTAAGAGAGTTCAAATTAGTAAATTATATACATATTTATTTATTCATTTTTAATCACATGGTCAACAGAAAAGCAATGATTGAAATTACAAAGATCGTATTGTTATCAATTATCATAAAATCTGATTTCATCTGATTAACAAGTATGCATACAATGCAAGGTAGGAAAAGGAAAAAGGAAAATATTACCCAAAATTGAGGAGGAAAAAAAGGATAAATTTACAATAAAGCCGTAAATATTACCTTGGATAAAAATTCACCAGTACAAATGCACTTCAATAAGGGTAGCCAGACACAGTTTAATAAATAATAAAATCTCACTAATTGACAACATTGATCAAGATTTCGCAGTAATCCAAGGCTTTTCCCCATGATTTGACGCATCTATTATGCTCTCTATTATGCTAAACCTCAAGGTTATTATAATATATTTTTGTAAACAACATCAGAGATATGATTGTTATAAGGGTTCAATAACTCTTCCTTCATACGCCACAAGGCCTTCCAAATGTTTTTGGGTCACACACAATACGATGCATTATTGAAGGCCCTGCAGGTTTGTCAAATGCAGTCGCAAGTATTAATTATTAGTTTGATTGTCTGAGGGAATTCTTTTTATTTCGTTAGAAGAAAACCGATTTTCACAACTCAAATCTAGTGGCTGTACGAAGTCATGCTCTATTTAACATTTAAGACAGATGTGTAACAAGATGAAGAACCTAAGATAACCTAAATGTATAATATGTCAATGCGCTATTAAGATATTAGACAGATATTCTTTATTGAGGACGAATAGAGGGATGGGGCCTACAAGCAGAGCTTGGGAGGGAGCTGGCCTTTTCTGTTAAGGCTGACCTACCAAGCGACAAGAGAGTTACAGTTCTTGAATATGTAAAACTCAGAAAGATGGATTTCTTGAATATTATTCCGTAACAATTGCTACGATATGTAATACTTTAAAATGAAAAGTTCTTACTATTAAACGTTAATGCAACCTACCTATTCAGTGGCGTAATGCTTAAGTTGGGTGCAATAGGTAAATTGTGGGGGCCACTGTGTGATTTTTGTACAAATCAAACAATATTACACTCAAGGTCAGTGGCTACAAAAGGCCTAAGATAAGGGGTTAAGCCCATGGTGCAGTCCAAGGTGGGAGGGGACCTCACAATATCACAATCCTAGCATTCTAGAACTGTTACCATATACTATGGATTTAGGCACTCAAATTATACATTTTTAAACATTATAAAAAATAACACACCCTGAAATTGATGCTACTGGTTCTATTTTCTATATTTACCAGATAAATAAATGATGGTTAAAATAAGTAATACAATTATTTTTTTGATGTATGTGCAATTCATACTAAATTAGTTTACTTAATTGTAAGAATTGTTTTACATATTATCGTAGAAACACTATGATTGAACGATAATGTTGAACCAGTGCATTGAGCACTGCTAATGACGCAAATAATTTTGCTAAATAATAGATACATTTAAAATATGGTATTAATATGGAAGGGATATGTGATAAATGGCTGAAATTTCAAGTCTGATGAATTACATTAATTGTGTCACTGGTTAAAACAATTTATCTCTCTATTCAAGAGTATTAATTGTACCTTATTTAAAAAGCATAAATCTTGATTCATTTTCAAGGTATAATAAACTTGGATTCAAAATCCAACAATAATAATCGACCTATAATGTATATAAAAATGCATAAACAAATAATTTGGAGAGAGGGACAACCTTTTAAATCCCCTCCCAACTGTCTAAACCAACTCTCTACTGAAATGTATGACAAACCGACGTCTCCGACAGTCTCCAGCAGTTTTCAAACGACAATTATTTGTCGAGATCAATTACCATGTCTCTTCCGTAACAACTCCAGCAAATTATGGAAAACACACTTGTTCAATAAACAAAAAATAATTGGGTCACAGGGAGATTTAAATTTAGTACTTATTTTTTTTTTACAACAAATTGAGATCAGATTTTAATCTGCACCTTTCATCTTGCGAGTAAAGGCCAGTTGAAACCTCAGCGAACCCGTAGGCTTGGAAGTTTTCTGTCTCTTATACACATCTAGATGTGTATAAGAGACAGGTGCTACATGATATGGTCTTGATACGAGTCCAATAGCTATGTTTAACAACATCAATGTAATAAAAATGATTTATATTACAAATATAACAAATTTTAGCTACGAATGTAGTCCTATTAAATATCGTGTACTGAGATCACCGGTAAGTCAGTAATGCTGTTAAATCTACACCTGTGAAATGCGATAATAAATTTATCAGTAAAATATACAAAACTGAAATAAATAACAATATCTATGACACACAAGCGGCAACCTGTAAAACCAATGCTACCTGTGGATTGATGAGAAGTACTGCCCTCATAGATGCAGGCCTACATCTAGTCCTACCACAGACAGAAGCTGCCAAAAGAAATTGCAGACTATCCTGTGTCTGTCTCTTATACACATCTAGATGTGTATAAGAGACAGGAGGGTAGAGAGAGCAAGTGTTTGATATTGTTAGGCTCCTGTTGCAAAAAGCCACATGTATCACTCAAATACCACTTCAAGGAAGTCGACAGCACCTTCCTTAACCGCACAACTTGAAAAATCCTGCTCACTTTAAATGTTGATAGCTATTACAGATAGATGGATGAAAATTTATGCATGAAGTACAGTGTTATGGAAAGACTGTAAGCTGTATTAGTCCAATGGAACATTTTTATGAGAACTGCCTAACCAATGTCTGTCCCACTGGGGGGGGGGGGGGGGTGCGCACACCATCCGGACAATTCCTCTGTTGGACATTTGGTACTTAGAATAAATTATTTAATGACCCGAAGAGTTATTATAATTGTAGTTCCTAATTTTGTGGTACCATTCTAACCAAAAAAAATTTCTCCCTCACCAGGGCTTTTACTCATGGACCTTGACAGAAGACCCTGGACAAACCCCTTTTTTGCACACTTTTTAGAATTACTGGACCACCTGTTGACAAATTACTGGAGCCACCATCCGTCCACAATATAAGGCTAATGCCACTACAATATACATTATAATTGCAACACATTGACAATTTAAGTTGAGCTATTTAGTAAATAGCATTCTTTGGGGAGAAATTTAGTTATATTACATTTAAACTTTAAAACTTGACTGCTGTGTTCTCATGTTGAGGCAACAGGCCTTAAAACATTATAGCATTATAGCAGTGATTTTCATTCAGCCTTGGTCAGAAGGTCGAACGACACACTGACCATTCTTGGCCAACCATGGTTAGATACCCCAGCTTGCACTATTGACAGGCTGAGAGGTGGTTTGCAGCATAATTAAACCCTAGATGTGTATATGTCATGGATTAAAAATAAACATAACCAGAAAAAAAAACAAATATTGTGGCTACTTCTCACCATTAATGTTCGTAGCATCTGGCCAGTCATTACCTAGCCACAAATATATAATATAAACAAAAGAGAATAGGCAGATATGTAGAGATTTTTACTGAATCCCCTTCTGCAAAAGAAGTACTGAACTCACCAATTTGCAAACAAGAGTGGATTAACTTAGTTGAGAGAGCATCAAAATAATACGAATGTTGGTTTGGTTTTTCTAACAGCCAACATTATCTCTGCTCTACTTTGCATGTTATATCTTCAATATTTTAAGTTTATATAGTTTTTTGTGCCTTTAATCCAAAGTAAAATTACTTTCATGCAAATTTTTAAAACTTCAATAATCACTGTTTACTTGTGGTACAAATTTACATGTGGCCGCATCGATTACATTATGTTGTTCTATTGAGAAATATGTTCTGAAAAGAAAAACATATTATCCTTCAATTCTGTGAGTCATATTGTATCATGTTTGCCATCTTCAAAAGGTCAGTTTGTCGCCCATGATTTCAATTTGCTGGGTTCTGTCACCTAGTCCCCTGAGATGCCTTCAACCCTGATAAACGCTATGCCAATTTGGGTGTACTGTTTAGTGAATGTAACTACTTTCGAAAACTGTAAGGATAAATTAATCTCAACCCAATCTTGGGATAACCTGGCAACTATCGTTTCTGTTAAGTAATTCCCATGATGCAACAGCTGTGAGGTCTCTCGCAGCCTACTCTACAGTTTGCGATTAATGGGCTCCGCATACAACCTAGCACGAAACACCTCGGAATCTAGCTTTTTCTAGTTTTAACTTGTGCTACATGATATGGTCTTGATACGAGTCCAATAGCTATGTTTAACAACATCAATGTAATAAAAATGATTTATATTACAAATATAACAAATTTTAGCTACGAATGTAGTCCTATTAAATATCGTGTACTGAGATCACCGGTAAGTCAGTAATGCTGTTAAATCTACACCTGTGAAATGCGATAATAAATTTATCAGTAAAATATACAAAACTGAAATAAATAACAATATCTATGACACACAAGCGGCAACCTGTAAAACCAATGCTACCTGTGGATTGATGAGAAGTACTGCCCTCATAGATGCAGGCCTACATCTAGTCCTACCACAGACAGAAGCTGCCAAAAGAAATTGCAGACTATCCTGTGTTAGCCTTGTCTAGTTATAATAACATTACAATTCTAGGGTAACAGATTTTAATGCAGAAAGAGGATTACTGTGGGAAGGCGGTTTGGCGTAGTGTTTTCAATTTAGGTTCTGAACCTCGCGGTGGACAGTTCAAAGCACAGGCTGATCATTCTCGGCCGGAAATGGTTAGATATCTCAGCTTGCACTGTTGACATACTGTGAAGTAGTTTGCAGTATGTTTCAGCCCTATGTGCGAGTATCCGATGGCTTATAAGCTCAAATAAAAGTACATTAATGTATGTATACATATTGCAGCTGCTTTTCATCAATGATGATAGTAACACCAGGTCATCAACACCATATACTAAAAGAAAAAATAAGAGAACACTTCACTTAACAAAGAAATTGGCACACAGATACCACAAGGAATACTGGGAGTCTGGACAATGATTTGATTAATGTAGTCTAGGACAGACCATAATGACCCAAGACTGCATCATAAAGCGTTCCATAAAAGAATATAGACCTATCTTAATGAATATTATTTAAATTAATGGTAACTAATAATTACAATAGAATTATGTACATAATGAATACAGAAAAAAACCAATTAACTAGGATCTATACTAGAAAACAAAGTGTCTTGGACCCTAAATGAAACAACAGAATTTAAACAAAATCAAGAAAATTTATGTATACACGCATTATGCATGTAAATATGCTTATAGACACATTATGCATGATACAAACAGATACATATAGGCCTACTTCTTAAGGATATGACATGGCTACACATATATTTGCAAGAGCCTCCATGAATCATCATTATCATTCTTAGAAAATGATTCATAATCATTACTGTACATTAGAATAAAACATTATTATCATTATTATATAGAATAAATAATACTCAATAAATAAAAAAAACAAGCCTATATAATTACTCAGTTGCTAAATACAGAATTTCTGTATTTAAATGAAATAATGAATGATAAATAATCATAATTCTATTTATAATATATAATATAATATAATATTCACATTGGAATCAATATTTTTTTTCTTATAGTAATTTGTTTTACGGCTGCCTCAAATATTATATCACAGTCAGGTGAATCCGAAATACAGAATGAATTATGATAAAAACAAAAGTCAAAAAAAGAGGTTGTTTAACATAGATGTTGCATGATGCAGAAACTTGAAATGTCTTGAAAGGAATGCATCTGTTTATTTTGCGTCTACTGATGAGAGATACGAACGCTCCCTTGTGTCATAAGCAGCGTGTCTGAATAGCGACACACACTTTGAAAAAATCTTGTTTATGAATTTTACGACTTGTGTCGATAGGAATACAACTACAGAATTTGTGTCAAAACTTAACACAGTCAAAATAGCTATTGAGAGCAAAAAGGCAATACTATCAGCACGAACACCCCCACTGCCCTAAAAATTTTTACATTCCATTTAAAAAATGAACGAATGACGATTAATGTTAAATAAATCTGGCATAGTTATTTTAATGTTTTCAATGTGTATTAAACATCTTGCCTTACCTAGCACTAAATTTGCGTCCGTCTGATATATGTTTGAATGTTAAACTATATCTTATAAATACTTTAATGTATTTTAGCGTCTAATTTCTTTAAAGAGTAATTGCACTTGGACAACTAGTACCTTTAATCTTCTTTTTAGATTCCGTGATATTCATTCTCTAATGGCTGCCATGGTGATTTTTTAGCAATTTGCTTTGCTGTCTAGCTCATCTATTAAGTAGCGTTTTAAAGTGGGCAATACATTCTGCCTCTGACCTCGATCATGGAACAGCCTATATCTATTATATAACAGAGGCATGGTAATAAAATTCCACAACATAAGTGTCACTGACATAGTCATTAACGGCGATAATGACATTGCATGTATGTGATCTGTGAAGACATACGTAGCTCGTCTCCTACACATCTACCCGTTAGCAAATTGGTAATTCCTCTGCACCGTGTGGAATGTGAGGAGGAAGAAGAGACGTAACCATGCTTAGCAAGTTCTCAGCTGGTTTCTATTACTATCGGTTTGTAAAGGTGTACATTCAATTTCTGAGATACCAAATTGCTTCATATGTAGCAGTGTTTAGGCTGTCAATCAGTAATGAAGTCCCGATATGTGGTTGAAATCAGGGACATTCTCAATACCTCAGAAGAAACATTTGTGTATGTGACAGTAAAGATAAACCTGAACTTCAGCCTACATACAGATACATATTACCCCAAACAGAGTCACACACAGTACTAGACCTACATTTATTCAAATACTACATATTTACTATTACAGTATATACACTATTGACAAGAAAATGGTCTATAGTAACAAGGCAGTAAACATTTTGGATAGTGATCCAAAGTAATCATTGCGAACTTGTATTTCTTATGATGCCTGAAAGGACATTCAGAAGACATTAAAAGTTAATGTAAATTATTGACGATGATGATGATTATGAGGAAGAGGATGATAATGAAGATAATGATGAATATGATGATGATGTTGATGATAAAGATGACGATGACGATAAAAATGATGGCGGCGATGATGATGAAGATGATGATATTGATGATAATGATTATGATGATGATGATTACGATGATGATAATGATAACGATGATACGCAAACATAGCTTTCACATTTAATATACTATAATGACTCCAACACCTAATAAAACAAAAATCAATCACATACCAACACGCCTAAGGAAATAGCCCACGATCAGGTATTGGTTCTGCATAACTTTACAACCCATAGTTACAAATTACACCAAGCAATACAAACTCAGTCACATTAAGACAAACCTCACAACACAACCAATATTAATATGACATACGGTAACATACCTATGTAGCGAACGTAGAAATACAGAAGCAAGCAACAACACAAACACACCAATCATACAGACTTATGTTAACATAGAAATAATAATGCAGATAAGAAAAACACTTGCAGATAGGCTTAAGTGACACTAATTTACTCTAATACAAGTCTACAAATAACCTATAACTTTGTAGTCTATTATCTCTTCTGTATTTCTTTCAACAGGGATGTTTGGAAGCAAGTGGAAGATAGGGGGAGAGCCAAACCATAATGGTGATTACCAACTAGGACACCTGGTTGATGCTAGAGATATACAGCCAAAATAGGCGTGTTTAGGGGAAAGTCCAATGAAGCTCCAGCCATTTTAATGGATTTCAAACATATTTGTGTGACATAATTAAATAAATTTAGTACACATAATTTCTGATTTTGATTTGATTTCTTTATTTGGCATCATAAAAACCATGTACACAGATTTTAAATTTGGACATCAAAATACAAATCAACATAAAATATGGTATTAAGACCTAAAAATCTTTCTATAAAGAAAAACTATCATACTTTTAGATGTTGGGGTTAGGGGAATTGAATGTTGAATTATTATATATTCTTTATACCAACAAAAAAAACCTATATGTATTATGTAGAGCCCAGGTATACAATTACAAGCACAATCAATACTGTCAAATATGCTGCATTATACAAAGTAAAGGTAGCTTAGCGTAGGCTACTACTGTAGAGTAGCTAGCTTTTAGAGCTTCCTAAGCTCTGAGATGGGCCCCAATTGCCACCTGCTAGGCAGTGTATTATGACAGTGTGCTAAATATGTCATTCATCAAAGCAGAGCCTTAAATGTCATAACACACGCTATGTGGGAATTAGGTAACATTACTCAAGTCATGACATTGGTTAACCTCTCAATTGTTAAGTCACATTAAGAAATTAACATCTAAACTCAAGACAAATTAGAGATAGATAACAAACTGTACAACAGACATCAAATCATCAAATTACATTTATGAAAAAAAAAATTAAATTCAAGGTCAGAGGAAGTGAAACAGGAAAAGTAAGATTGATAAAGAGACATTTGGATAATCGGAGAGGAACCATCATGTTATTTTTTGGATAGAATTAGAAAAATAGTTCTTGCGGATATATACTCAATTGGGGCAGTTTACGCCTTACTGCTTTTAACCTCTAAGAAACACCAACAAATAAAAAAAAAACAGAATTTGTGGATAAAAAAATATCACATAGAGGGCAATCTTCAGGCTAAAGAAATCTAATCAAATTTTTAAAAAGTATTGTGCCAGCAAATGAAGGATTTTTTTAAAATCATTTAAACAAATTTACATTAAAAAAAAAAATTGGAATTTTTATCATTAAACAGGAAGTGACCTCTGACAGCATGTGGAAAATTTAGCTCCATAGCCTATTATAGTATGATGGTATGGATACTATAGATATTCATTTTGTAATTGAAATTCTATGTATCCCCAAGATCTGTCTCTTATACACATCTAGATGTGTATAAGAGACAGACACTACAAAATGTATGTATGTAAAAATGAAAATCAACTAGAACTTACATAATAATATCATTCACATTTCTTAAATTTAATTATTTACTTAACTTGAGATAATAGCAGCTCGTCATTAATCATAATTTTATCAATGACATTATCAAATAAAATGAATGACATGAATTCCTTTGTGGCTTCTGAAAATGTAAAAAATCCACTTCTTTTTAATCCACAGATTCAGTATGACATAATACATATGAAGCACAAACATGTACAAATTAGGCCAAATAAAAGTTTCACGTACCCGCCCTCATCAAATTTTGGAAACTTATGAAAAAATTTACAATTTCTATTAAAAAAAACCACAAAAAAACCCAATATTTTTCCATGGAAAATAAAAATAAAGACAATCTGAAAGATTGTTATCAAACCCTAAGAAGAGGTGGAATACATTACATTTCCCTTTTTTTTTTTTTTATAAATAACAGTTTTTATTATTTAACCAACTTGTTTACCACTGGCATATAGGATACTAAGGCCATGTAAAAAAAAAGAGTTGTTGATCATCCTTTAAAAAAAACAAAAAAAAAATTGGTAGAGAGGGAGTAATGAAACCACCCCATTTATACATGCCAAGTCTTCAAATCCCCCATAGAATGCAAGGCCTCATGTAAATGGTGGCTGACTTTGATGGATCTGCCAGTGTAGTGTTTTATCAGGTGGAATTTATATGAACAAAACAAATGAAAGGCAAAATAACTACACAAAAAAAGCATAGGTCTAGCCGAAGTTGAATTATGGGCAGAAATACGACATTTTTGTAAGTTTTGGTGTAAATAAAAAGGTTATTTTTTTTTATGTAGGGAGGAGACGATCAACAACATATTTTTTTTAATGGCCTAAATGACAAATATGTTAATACCATCACAAAAAATAATGTGGAACTATTAAACATTTAATTTTATTAGGCCTTATCTACAATTG